AGTGAGGCGTTAACCCAGCACGGGAACGTGACCGAAGAACTTGTGAAGGAACTTCTTTTGGTCTGTCCCGTGAGACCTGATTGTTGCAAGCATGCTGTCTTCTCTTCGCTGATGCCTTGTTATCGACCCTCTTTTCGGATTCAGTCCTTAGCATCAAGCACCCAATGGAGCAAGCGGAACGTGGGCGGGGTAGCATCTTTTGGGCTGAGGGCTGCCCGGCTTGGGCGGACGATAGCTGCCCAATGAAGTGCGATGACAATTCCCACTGTCGAGAGAAACCCCAGGCACTCCACTCCTACGTTCATCTAGTGGAGGTTTTTAGACCGGTAAACTGTTTCTCTCCGTGTTTATTTGCTGGAGTGTCCTCTCCATGGGCATAGTGAATAGAACCAGATGTTGCCCCCCAACTGGTTCCGAGACTGAACTTCGTCTGGGCTCTACCCATTGACCTGTCAGGCATGATTGTATCTCCGACTTAAGAAAGCCATCCTGCCTAACTCGTTCGGCTGTGGAGGCACGCAAGCCATCACACCACGCTAAAGTGCAGTCTCGCCGTGATGGATATACTCGGTCCAGGATCTTCTGTATGTGCAAAAGATTACCGACCGGGAAAGAACTGGGCAGAATGTGTCATAAAGAGGCCAATCGGTCATGTGTTGCATGAGGTGTCCGTTGGAAAGGACGCATGGATTCGACACAAAAACCAATTACCGGCACCACTCAGTTCAACCAGTGCTACAGCCTACAAGTATAATCTTCCCCCGGATTTATTGTTGGGCACATCCAATCTTGCGGTGGAGAAATCCAAGCCGGTGAACTTTGATGCGAACCCGACGCCCGCCGGTAGTCACATGGCCATAGGCAACCAGCAAGACGCGTGCAAGAGGATCCTCCAACACGTCTGTACCACAAAACCATGTTAAGAGGTGTCAGGAAGTTGTAATAAAAAACTTTTTCCCCGAAGCAACCGATGATCATTTCGAGCATGCTGGACTGAAGCAAACAATCAATAACCAATAAACCACCGGATCACACGACGCTTATTCCCCTTTCGTTAACTGAACAGTTGTCGGCAGGGCGACGCAAATCGGACTCATGATCAATAATCAATTCAGCTGTATTATCAACCGAATCAGTCCAAAAGGGCTTGAATTTGACTGGACGCCCGGATTCGGAAATGTTCTATTTTCGTCTCAAATACGATGTTATTGATTCCTGTACACACACTGTCATCTTGGCGTGTTATGTCACTGCCTTTTGACTTCATTGAGGGCTGGACAGATAGGAACCGCGAGCAGAGGTTCATTGCGTAGGCCGCACCTAGAAATTGCTGAGTAACGAAAGCGAGCGTCACATCAGCCCTCATTAACAGATTTCCTCTACTACCTGCGAATAATGAACCTATTCCAATATGACCAGTGGTTACACCAATGTTATACTACTCCATAATTTTTCATGGTCCACGCATATTCAAAGGACATTTTGCAAAGTTAAAATGTTGTCCTTTTTCCTCTCCGTCGAAGATTACTTTCGGTCTACCATCAGTTAATTTTTAAATTTTTGACCGTATGTATCCAGTATCCTCGGTTCTCAATGGTCAGGTTTTGCAGCCGCAGCTGAGTACGGGGCATATAGCGACACGGTAGATACGCACCTTAGTCCGAAGGCCTATTTCACTGCAGTTCTACAACGCCCATCATAGCTAGAGAAATGCTTTCGTGGCGTCGTCTATCCGAAGTATCACTTCATCCTTCGCCTAGCCGTTTAGAAGCAGTGTAGAGCTTAGATACTTGAATGATGGAATGATGGAACGTACTCCATCGATCGGTCATTCATGGACAGTTTCAGTTTCAGTTTCCGTTTATCCAACCATTAACTCGCACTTCTGTGCTCTGTTTTCGGTTGCTACCTTCCGGCATCGTCCAGTAAAGGGTGAAAAGAATAGAAGCATAGTGATAATTATCCAAAAAGTCGAAGCACCGAGGGGAAATCAAGATGACAAGCAAGGAGTCCGAATGCAACCACGTCACTGACCGTGACACCTAGCCATATCACTTATTGTCTCAAACCATTTAGTAGGAGGATCACGTGGACCCCAACCTGGAAGTTTAACACGTCCTACTCGGTCAAGTTCACTGGTCAAGGTTTTCATGCTTTTTTGCCATGTCATGGACTGACCTCCTCGACTTACCTTCCAAGCACCATCTGCCTTAGAGAACAGCTGCTGAGTTGATGGCCCCGGGCAAGTTGACATGCTTTTGGCCCGACGGACTTTGAGAATAAATCGATTTGATCAAGGAGTGGTTGAAGCGTGACGGGATAGTCCGCTGGTACAATAATGTTATCCGGGAACTCCAGGTTAAGGATGTGCATCCCCCGACTGTGCTGGATACCGGGATAATCAGTCAGTGCCTGTCTCATTGTCCGGTCGATCGCGTAGTTGAACGGCACCGGTAAAAGAAGGCAGCCCTGTCGGAAGCCAGTGATAAATGTGAACTCGGAGGACTCTTCAGCATACATACGGACCCACGTCCTGGTGAGCGAATAATATCCTCTCACAAACATTGTGAGTTTATCGGGAATCCCGTCGGATTCCATTATTTCCCAGAGACATAGCGGGTAACCGAATCGAAAGCTACCTGAAATTCGATGAAGTAGGCTACTGTTGGCTGCTGGAACTTGTAGTGGTGCTTCAGCGTTCGACTTAGTGTATAAATTTGGTCCACACAGCCTCTACCTCGGCGGAAACCCCTTTGTTCGGTCAGAGGCGGCAGTCTCTCTCAACAGAGAAGCGTTTGAATAGCAGCACGCAGAAAATCATCGCAGCCAAGTCAATCAGGTTGATCCCCATATAGTTCACACACAGATTCGTCATTTTTTCTTTTAGATGGGCAGCAGAACAGACGTACTCCGACCAGTCGGAAGGACTTCTTCCCGCCATATGGAGTCAAGTAGGGTGTATAATCTGTCGTTCAATGACGACAGGTAGCACTTGTAGACTTATCGCGGAATGCCGTCACAAATCAGTAGCAAAGTGAGTCACCGAAACTCGACCCAAGAAGCCCAACACACCCAAAATAATCCAGTTTACTGACCATGTAGTGTTTCCCGCTTAATGGTACCACTACCGACAGTGTGGCATAGAGAGCTTGATTACCACCTCGGGGATCCAAGGTTCGAATCCTCGCCATTACCGGTCACTTTAGTGGTAGACGGTGATCTACTGTCGTCCGGATCGTTACCACAGTTGACCCACTGGACCTTAAGTGGTTCTCCATTCCAAGTCTTAGGGTCTGCTTGCCGGGTATCCCTATTAGTGCAGTGGACATTAATGGCTATGGGTCTATACCGCTTACAGTGCGGTAAAAAAAACCGTACTAGTGAGATTTTAGGATTGCCCCGTAACACAAAAACAACTTGAATGCAAGAACTTATGAAAACGGACTGAGAGAACTGGAGGAAGATACAAACCAAATTAACTATGTCAACGACTGTGCCGTTGAATGTATATTAAAACCAATCATGTTTTAGAAAAAACGGTATGAGGGGAATATCTGTCTTTTCTGTACTTCACATTAGGCCAACAAAGCACACGCACGGGTTTTGTAAAATTAATAGAATTTCTGTGAACACTGTGGTCCATTTACTAACTGTACTGATTTCACAAAACCTGTACGTGTACTGTCAGTCTGATATGAAACACCGAAAAGACAGATCTGTTTGCCCCATACAATTTTCTAAAAAACCCGACCACGTGAATATTACACAACTTAAAATTCATCACTTACGGTCTGAGTGCTCCATCAGCAAATAAAAGAACAAAAAGTCCTCGAAAAGAAAAGTATATCATTTATACGCCATTTTAATAAATCGGAGACGGAAGATCCAACTGAGAGCAGAACAAATTTACTGTCCTCAGTCAGTTATAGCAGCAAGTGGCAGATTTCTAATCGGAATTTCTCCGCACTTAACTTCCTAATTGTCTTTATTTTGCCCATTGCCTGGCTTATTAGGACTTTGATTTTGTCAGGGTGGGTGATGACAATCGATAGTAGTCGAGTGGTTTAGGGTATTTGATTACCACCTCAGAGGTCACGGGTTCGAATCCCGTCACCACCGGTCACTTTGGTGGTAGACAGTAAGTCACTGTCTTTCGGCTCGTTACCATACCTGACCAACTGTGACCTTATATGGTCCTTGACTTTGAATTTTGACTGTTACGCAGTTAGCCCCCGGGACAAGATGAGCCGGCTTCATGGGTGTCCAGAAGGGCACCAGCCCATGAGCAGTGTGGAGGAACGGTTTGCCACTCCAAAACGTTGCCAGCTATTTTTATCAGTGCAGTGAGCCTTTGAGGCTGTGGTACATAAACCTTCCACTCACGCGCAGGCATGCAATAAAAAAATAGAAAATAACGACTCAGTGCAAAGTGAGTGACTGACAGAACTAAAACATGAATCATCGTCTAACGCAAAAATCAGTTTCTTTTGGACACATCTAATACGCGAGTTGTTCTGTATCATAAGCTGTGATATCTAGACGAATAACTAGTGGTGGAGGAGTAGCAATGACTTCCAACACATCTGGGGTAGACAGCTCAGACTCCGTCACCATCCATCACACTAGTGTTAAATAATTATCCGCCCGGTTCGTTACCACGCCTAATACCATGGGACCTTAAGTGGTTCTTCACCCCAAGTCTTAGGGTCTCGTTGCTAGCTATACCTCACAGTGCAGTGGGCCTTCGATGCAATGGAGCATATCCCTCCCACTGCACTCATGAGCATGTAATAAAGAAAAAAATTGGTGGCAGACGGCGGCCTCTTTTCGAAGGACGTGCTACCATGCCTGAACTATTGAGGCTCTGTGTCGTTTTTCATTACAAGCCAAAGAGTCAGAGTGGCAGTCCCCCATGAAAATGCAGTGGGTTTTGTGATTATGGGATGTGCCTCTTCCAATTTGCTTATGCGTAAGCACATAACTGAAAAACATGAACTCACCGGAACTTCTTGGCTAATCCAAAATCAATCAGGAATACTTTATTACAATTTCCGCCGATACCCATGAGAAAATTGTCCGGCGTAATGTCCCGATGAATGAAATTTCGCGCGTGCAAAAAATCCAACCGCCATAGCATTTGATCGGCAAGCATTAGAACAGTTTTCATTGTGAACCGACGACCACAAAAGGAGAACAAATCTTCTAAACTTGGTCCGAGCAAATCCATGATTAGTGCATGATGTGTATTTCGCACGCCGTCGAGACCGTAAAAGAACACCTGAGGTATACCAGAAGTGCCCTGATAGACAAGTTTGCACATAAAAGTTTCAACTGGTCAAATTAAGTCATACCTGTAAGACTCTGTACACTCTGCTTTCAAAATATAGTTGCGGATGTCTAGCATTCACCCGTTCCAGCTTAACGGCGACCTCTTCGGCGGTATGAATATTGACCCCAAGATAGATAGCACCAAATGATCCACTACCAATTTTACGTAATAGGCGCCATTTGCCACCAATCACAAAGTCAAAGGTGGAAGACACTTGTGAATCATCCATGAGGCTCTAGAAACAGGAATAAAAATAGGCGATGAAAGATATTAAACTAAACCCGGTTATATATATATATATATATATATATATATATATATATATATAATGTATGGCTACTCTTTTAAAGATGGGCACAAACGTCGATTTACCCCAGGATGCGGGAACTTTTTCTTCCGTTCCAACCTCTGAGAACAGGGTTGTCAATTCTCTCACCAGAACCATCTCGCCATCTTTAAAAAGCGCAGGATGAATACGATCTAATCAGTGAACCTTGTGGCGTTTGAGGGTTTGTAGTTCTTTTCGAATTTCCGCTTCTGGAATAGCCCACATAGAAAGTGTAGGAGTTCTAGGTGCCGTGGAAGTAGCCGGTGGCCAGTTAAATCGGGAGCGAAAATGTTCTGCCCAGCGGCAGCTTGGTGACTGGTGTCTTATCGGTTTCGTGGATTGACTCACTAACACCTGTTTATCGCAGTGCGATGGCGCGAATTAGGTGAAAAAGCTTCCTGGAGTTGCCAGAGGCAGAAGCTGCTTCCATCTCGAGGGCACGTTCTGACCACCACGTTTCGTGATCAGCAAGCAAACTGTTCTTCAAACGCGAAAGGAGATCATGGCGTGCTACGTTGTCTTGCATCAACAGAGATATGTCAGAGGCTCCCAAGCAATAACAAGGAGTTTGAAGAAATCCAATTTCTCTGGGTATGGTGGTCCGTACCACAACTGGTCATGCCGGCATTCAATAAGGATTCATTCAGTCACTTCCAGTGCTCATCGACATCAGGTGGGGCGGTGGATTACAGTGTCTGGGTCAGTGTAGTCTGGAAAGCCTGTTGATATTTAGGCGAGCATGATATGAATTCCTCGAGCCCTCGAATAGCAAGCACATTGAAGCGCAGACTAATGCGTCATCTGAATCGAAGCAGGTTGACTAGTAAGAGCGACAATCTAACACGCTGCCACGCCAACGGTAGCTAATCGCTACGTGATCGATTTGAGACCATTTCTGTGTTGAAGAAGGAGGACGCCAGGTGGCGTTACGTCGTTTGGAGTTGCAAAGGTTTGTGCTTGCTAGAAAAAGCTGGTGATCCGCACATTTAGTCAGTAATCTGTCCTCATTGTCCGAACGATTGGAGTTAAGGCCAAACTGTCCTCCTAGGTGACGTTGACTCGCTGCCACGCGGCCGATGCGCGCGTTCAGATCTCCGGCGAGGACTACGATATCTGTCCGGTGAGCTGCGAGAAGGAGCGCATGAAGCTGTTGGTAAAAGTCATCTTTGTTTGCCTTCGGATTGCAGTTTGTCAGTGCATAGGCGGAAATAACGAATAAGTCGCGTGTGCGATCTCGATGTGTAGTTGCTCGGCAAGAACCTCACAGCCTGACTGCACAAAAGTGGGCTATTGACAGGAATCCAGTCTGACATGACCGCTTCCGCTCCACGGCTCAGAGCAATTCCAACGCCGGCCTGGTCGGCTGTTGTGGCGTCCGAGTCTCCAGATAGGCGTAGATGAAAATGAGTGTTGGAATAACCTGGAGATGTTAGTCTGATCGTGCAGCTTGCTTCTTACAGTCTTGTCTCTGAAAGACAATAGATATCGATCTAGTACGATTCGAGTGTGCGGGTTAGACTCACCTGTTGTCCAATTTGCATAAACGTCCGTACGTTGAAGCTGGTTTACTTGAATCGTACGAGGCTGAAGAAAAGTGGGTTTGGTGATGTGATTTGCTGCGGCAGTCGTAGGCGCCGCAAATGCCGGTAAGCACAGTGTCATACGCCTCATGCGCCACCCGTGGTTGGTTTGGAATCAGGGTTAAGCCAGTTATTTTAGACTGAAAATCAGTCAGTCAACCTAGTGGAGAGCGCCGGGCATTTGCCTTCGCCCTCATACTGGTGGAAACATCTCCGCCATGAGAAGCTAGTGTGCAGGACTTCCTCGGCAGAAGCTATATGGGACGGGTAGTCATTTAGGAGCATTTCGAGAGGCGTTCAGGGCGGGTAGCCAACTCGAAGCCTGAGACATCCACCCCGACCATACTGAGGCATTTTGGAGGCCGCAACACATGCCCCAAACATCTGAGCCTGGTGCACTCAAGTGCTTCATCGGATGATTTGGTTATTCTACCTAATACTCCCCGCCGAACCTCAGTATTCCTGATACGGTGCTTCTACCATATTCAAGCAATGCTACTAAGAAGTCGGTTTTCATGTATATCCCCCACCCGCAGTGGCCATGTCCCCAAACCATACAGAGATACTAGCCTAACTGTTGCAGAGTACATGACTCTTGATAGATAAACGGATGTCATTTCGACACCACATGATTCAGGTTAGCAAAAGCCAAACGTGCTTTCCGTAGACGCAAAACACCGTTTCTGTTCCTAATCCTAACAAGGTATGCAACTTCTTATTCCTCACTTCCCCACACCCACCGAACCCGAATCCCCCGAGTGGTTCAACCACGCATGTGATCATGCTATACGTTTGAAGCGTGCGAAATTTCTCCGCTGGTGCCGCTCGCCCACTCCCGACTCCCAACGCCGCTTCGTGCAAGCCAGGAACAGATGCCCGTCGATCATACAGAGAACAAAAGAACGCCTTGTCCGCTGGAGAGCAGAACGCTTAGTCTCATCTGCCAGCGGTAGTCAAACATTTTAGTCCCTTGCTAAAACAGTCTCCCTCAATTTTTGCCCCTCCGATTTTCCTCCCATCTCTAATTCCTCTGGTGATCTTGCTTCTGAATCACACGAGAAAGCTATTTTTGCATCCTGGTTTGACTCCAACTCCACCTTACCCACTTATCCTACTCCTATGATTCCTTCTCCTCCCTGTCTCCTACTTTCAACCTCATATTAGCACTAGGAAGATCCGCCAAGCGCTGCGTTCTCTGGACGTAGCCAAACCACCCGGTCCGGACGGTACACCACCCATCGTCCTTAAAATGTGCCACTGAATTGACTCCTCTTTCGTCGTCTTTTCTGTCTCTCTCTCTACAACGTTCTACTTTTCCGATTCCCTGGAAAAACGCCGTGATTTTTTCTATTCCCAAACGCGGTGATCTTTTTGACCCGAATAACTATCGTCCTATTTCCATCACAACTGCTTTTTCGAAAGTACTTGAAACTGTCATCTCCGACCAACTGCGTATTTCTCGAACGCAGACTACTGAGTGATCGCCAATACGGACTCCGACCTCGCCGTTCCACCGGTAATACCCTGGCTCTCGTCTCACGCTCCTCGTCGGCTGCACTCGACAATTACAGAGAAACACACATGGTGTTGCTCGACATCTCTAAAGCCTTTTAACGAGTTTGGCACGAAGGTCTTCTGGTGAAACTGTCCTCGTTCGGGTTCTCTCCTTCACACTCGTATCGTGGACATCAAGTTTCCTCAGTGAGCGGACCATATCCGTCCGAGTTGACGAGGTTCTGTCCCAGCCATTTCCTGTGAATGCTGGTGTTTCCCAGGGTTCATTACTTGCGCCCTCCCTATTTCTTTTGTTTATTAATGGTCATTTATCTACTACTTCCAACCCAGTCAATCTCTTTGCCGATGATGCCACCCTTCATTCTTCCCTTTGTTACCGCACTCCCCGCCATGCCAACACCAACACTGACCGTGACTGCAGTGCAATCAGTGCATCTTTAGAATTCCATCTCGAACACATCTCCTAGGGATCCCACAATCATGTTGCACTCAATGCTTCCAAAACTTCTCTTCTCTCAATTTCATTGAAACATCATTCATTCTCCCCTCATTTATCCTTTGATTCAACCGTGCTGCCTGCCACAGATTCTTTTTCTCTTCTTGGTTTATCTATAACTTCCTCTCTATGTTGGTCCGCTTTCATACCTCAGCTGGCCTCTCGTGTTGCGCGCAAAGTTGGTTTTCTGTTTCGCGCCAGATGCTTCTTCACACCAGCTTATCTTCTGTTGTACAAAGCTCAAATTCGCCCCGTACTTGAATACCACAGTCATATGTGGGGCGGAGCTTCGTCTACCTCTCTTTCTCTTCTTGGTCGGGTTCAGTGTAAGGTTATCCGGCTGATCGATCACCCTTCTTTAACCTCTAATCTGCAGTTACAAGCCCATCGTCGGGCTGTTGCTTTGTTGTCTCTCTTTTACCGGTACTATTTCGGATTTTGTTCTTCTGAGCTTGCTTCGGAAGTTCCTCCTCCCAAGACTTTTTCCCGACCATTGCATACCCAGGCAACTAGTCATCCCTACCAAGTTTCTGTCACTAGATGTCGCACTTCTATTTTTCAATCTTCTTTCTTTCCCCGGACCGTTAAGTTAAGGAACACTCTTCCACTTCCTGTCTTCCGACCCACTCACAACCTTTCTCTCTTCAAAAGCAGGATCAATGAACTGGTTCTGACGTGAATGTTTCTCCTCAACCCACTTTTACAGTATCTTCTGATTATGGGGTTTACCCCTTATACTGTATTTCATTTTATGCGGAATAAAAAGCTGCCCAAATAATGAACTAGTCCATCTGGTCTTCACTATCCTCAGACACTGAAAAGTTTGGTGTTGGACTGACCCAGTCCCGCGACAGCATCTTGCACTTTGAAGATGCAAAACGCATACCGAACATTGCTGCGTAGTTCGTCAAGCCGTCTAGAAAAGCTTGCAACTTACCTGGATCTTCCCTTAGAGGAACGATATCGTCCACATATTCAAAATCTGATACTTTTTCACCCGGAAAAAGTTCAGTGCCACCATTCCCATCTCACAAAAGCGCGGTCTCTAGCAACATATCTATCACAAAGTTAGAGAGAAAAAGAGAGAGAGGGGCAACCATGACGTACACCAATTTTTGTGGACTCGGGTAAAGGATCACCGTAAACACGAACTCGGCTTCGGCTATTAATGTAGAGGGATTACAAGACGGAAATGAATTTCTTTGGTATATTTTTCAACAAGAGATAGTGATAGAAAGCCGTGCGGTCGACTGAGTCGAAGGCCGCCTTAAAGTCAAGAAAAACGGAGATAGTAGGCCTACGGAAGGTGTGCCTGTGTTCCAAGATTTGTCGAGGAGTAAAGACGTGAACAATACAAACTCGATCGGGTCTAAATCTGGTTCGATTGTCGCGCGGGCACTGTTTGCAAGCGTTAAACAAGAGATGGAGAATAATAACAGCGAGCAGTTTGGATGCGATGCTACCCAGACTTATTTCCCTGTGGTTTTCACAAGAGCCTTTTCCATCTTAGTACACTTCGCAATTCACCTCTACTCACAGCTATTTCTCAGGCTGCGAATAAGTTGACAATTAGACCATCTCCGTGCCCTATAGTACCTGGAACCCAGATCAATCGATCTGCGCACATCTAACATTGCAACTGAGGATGTAGATATCCATCGTTTGTGTGTGCCTGGTTGTTGGATCTTGGGTAGCATCAGCAACCTCATGCAGGGTCTGTGTGATATCTGTCCTCACTCTTCTGGACCTTGGGCATTTGACCGCATCGACAACCTGGTGGATAATTTTGCTTTGAAAGCTGATCGTCCAGTAGCAGTTGAGGGGGGCGGTTGGCTTTGGCGTGGCTTCAGCCACCGAGGAAACGTAGGCCGAAACGCGAACGGAGAAGAGTGTGATCAGTGTCAACAGACGTGAACCGAAATGATTCGCAGTCTTAGATAGATCCGAGCCAGCAGTACCCGATAGCAATAGGATCGATCTGAGTCCAAATCCGTGAAGGCAAAAAAAATGCCAGGTTAGTCGGTGCCGCTTTCGGATAGATGAATCTGTGCTTGCTAGGAATAGTCCATGGTCGGAACATAGTTGAGTGAGTCGGTCACGTATGTCGGTTCGATCGGCTGGAATGCCAAACCGGCCTCTATATTCTTCTCCGTATCGTCAAGGCTTTCAACTTGAGCACTGAAATCACCAGCAGCAACCATCATGTTCGTAGAGCGCACGCTACGGAGCGGTTCAGACAAATACTGGTAGAATTCGTCTTTAGCCTCAAGAAAGCTACAGTCAGTTGGGGCATGCACACAGAAACGAAAGACTGGCGTCGACGCTTTGGTTTACTGCTGCTGACATGCACAGAAATATTGAACCGAATCGCACACAGACGACTGCTGACTGAGATCCAGTCGAGCAGTGCACGCTCAGCTTTCACGCTCAGGGAGATGCCCACGCCAGCCTGACCAAGAGCACTAGATAACCGATCGTCTGACACAAGAAGAGTGATTCATCATCATCATCGTACAGCGTTAAACAGTAGGGCAAGCCCCACTGACCACTGCTTTTCTCACCATGTTCAACGTTGAATTAGAAAGTATGAATATACAAGATGGACAGGGAGTGGGCCTACATGGGTGGGAAAAGGAGAGAATGCCCTAGTAGCCAACACACGGAATACACAGTCTAACTGTACAAACGCACATCGATCAGTCATTCTGATTCGACAGAAAGTGACAACACGATCGCCACTGTTCGCGGTTCGCTGCCATATCCTTCAGTATCTCCAGCCAACTGGTATACGGATCTTTTGGACCCCAACCACAAAGACATGAAGCACCTACTTTTCCTAAGTCTGCTGTACATTTTCTCATTCCTCGCTGCCACGTCATCTGTTGACCTCCACGTGGTCTCCTCCACTCCCTAGGAGGAACGGAGAATAGGACACGGTATGGTAGACGTG